CAAATCCCATGATTGCTATTATTAGGTAAGGATTACCTTCGAGTCTGCCTGTACTAAGTGTGAGACCATAATATGCTATTGAATTAGCAAACCAACTAAAGCAAACGTTCAATGTCTTTTTTCTTAAATTCGGAGTTTTGAATAAATCTAATGTGCCACCAGATGAAGTGGCTGCTGCCTCCCCTTTGGAAACTTCGACTTTTCCCCGTGATACAAGATCCGCTCTGTCCAATCGCGCTTCAGATTTATTACATTTTAATGCTCTTTCAACAATATCCACAGATTCTTTTGCTCGACCTTGAGCCCAGAGCCAACGTGGAGATTCATCCATAATCCAAATGTGTGGGATGAGAAGGAGACCATGAAGTCCATAAATAACTTGTAGAATTTGTCTATCATCTATAAGCGCGCCCCAGCCAGCTACTAACATAATCCCTCCTGCAAATGCAGCTTGAAAAGTGACACCACATGCTGTTCTTTTGCTTGCTCCCACTAATTCCATTGTGAGAACAAACCCAGTGATATACGATCCGGCCGAACCGAAAATTCCATACAAAAATCTAATAACTAAAAATGAATAATACTCGGGCATAAACGCCACAATAACGCCAAAAATCAATTGTAATACTCCCGACCAGCAGAATATTGTTTTTCTACCATATTTGTCTGCCATTCCGCCCAAAACTACTGCTCCAGTAAATACCCCTAGCATATAAACAGTTTGAGCAACAGCTCCCATCCATCTTTGGTCACAAACCAAATTCCATTCCATCGATCGAGATGAAGATCTATATGTAGTGTCGTATACCCATTTAGAACAAGGTGTTGATTCGTTATGTTTATACATTAGACATGAGTGTAGAACCCCCGATTCAGTGAGTGGTATGGCTTCTAAAATCGCTGATGAATTCCAAGAAGCTATAGATTCATTGGTGTCTACTCCATCAATCCAGCATCTGAAATCAAAGGTAAGCTCATAAGTTTTTATAAAATAATTAAAATACCTTAACCTATTAGATAGGTAGGGCAATGCGGACATTCCACCCGAATTGGACCACCCACCTGGGGACGCAACCTCTTGCAGAAGAATAAGTGTATTCTTCTGTAACATTTTCATGTTTTCCATGGAACAGGGGATGATATTAAGGTAGGAAGAATGCGCTAGTGAGACTGTATCGCGAGGTATAAAAATTGGTTGTGGTAGCCGCTTACAATCAGTGGTGGGCCTTGATTATTTATTTAACATAAAGATACCTTTAGAATTAGAGCCACACTGACATATGTTCAGTGGTATTACCTAACTTTTCATGTAACTACTTAGGTACCTACTTACTTTTACATACCGGCGAATTCAGCGTGAAAGGTGAGTTTGTTCTTACAGAATAACACTACAGTAACATATTCAGTGTGAACGGAATAAATTTTACGAAAAAACCGAAGCACCTCAAACACAGGACAATAGGTATACTCGTATGTTCCTGTGCAAGTTGGATAAAATATACCGAAAAAGTATTAAAAATTTAAAATCATGCATCTGGTCACATTGAACATATATCTTATTCTTATTAAATAATAGTTTCTTAAAAGACTTACCTAACTTGATTTATTATTTAAGTTATTAAAGTATCTAAACATACTTACCTGTATGAATGAAGGTATTGATTAGAATAAAAGTAAGTACTAATTCTTCAACCAGTTTATTAAAATAAGGCAGGTGACAACATTCATGTTTTTACTTGTTTCACAAATTCTGTTTCTTGATGAAGTTATTTTTTCATAATAAGTACAAATTATATTCTTTCCTTGAAAAGAACTCGCTGCCGATCCAACATGGCCGATGTAGTGCTAAATAAACACAGGTAGTTGGGGAAATACGATAATTTTAACAAATATTTACAGCAAGCATAGGAAATATCAAAGTAGGGGTAAATTGTTTATTGTAATTTTTATTGGCTGTTTATTTGTATCTATCGCTTTCCCAATTAAGCTAATGAAAAGTGTCAATGTGATAATAAAACCCTCTTTCCCAATTGAAATGAAAGGGATAACGGAACGCGAAACATACCTAACAACAAGACCCTTAAAATAAACAGATTATATGAACAACTTACACCAAAGTTCTTAATGATGTTTAAAACTAAATCCTAATTTTATTTTAACTAACTGCAGTCTATTCTCTAAAAACAAATTCACTTTTCACTGCAAAATATGCCGCTGTAATTTGATATTTGTGTCATATCAAACCGCGGATTCCTGAGCACTGTAAGCAAAGTGAGCTTGTTCTTATAGAATAGACTACTGGTCAGATTTTATGAACAAATTGCACCAAACTGATTGGTGATTTCTTTTACATTTTTCTAAATAGGTACGTAGCTACCTATCAACTGTCCACATAATAAATGAAATAGGTAGGTATGTATATAAAATATGAATGAATGTACGCAAGTAAGTACCTATCTAGACCTACTGAAGGAACGACTTAATGCACAAAAAATCAAATATCGATAAGTAGGAGAACAGTAAGAAATAACTTAAATAAATATCGATACAATTACTGTTTCTTACCTAAATTATTTTATCCTTTATTTTTTACTTTTCAAACAATGTCAAAATATCAGTATCAATGTTAGTATATAATGATTAGCCCTTTCTGCGGAATTCTTCATATTATGTTTGTCTGTAGGAAATTTATTATTAGTTTTCTATTGAATATGGTCCCACAATACTGTTAAGTAGATGTTAAGTATCAAAATATAACGACTTTATAATGCTCAATATTAACATGTATTAAAAATATTTCAAAATCAACAGAAAAAGTTTCAAATGTATAGTGATTAGCATAGCCAAGGTAATATTATCTATACAGTATTGTGGCTCGGCCCTGTCCTTGAAATAACTGCCTACGGCCGAGCGAGGCGTATCCACGCCCGCCTACAGTATTTTAATTTCATCTACATTGTTGAGTTTCTTTCTAGTTTTGTGATTGTAAATATTTTATTTCATATATAAAAAAATGTTGTGTTTGAATTAGGAAGTGTTACATAAAATACATGTTATTTTAAGTGTAATATTTATTAAAAAAAATATAGATTTGAGACAGAAAAATATTTACGCCTAGACTGAGACGTACGAAAAGCTTTTTTATTGAATTTAATAGTATAATAAATACGCATTCGTATAAAAAGTTTAGTTATTGAAGAGTTCTAGCAACGAAAACCAGCACAATATCGACTATTGCTCTTTGCCATATTAAATTATGTAGTTATCTACTTAATTCAATCAAATATTCACAATACAAACGTTTAAGCACGGCTAACTGCTTAGAAACAATTCACACCGTTCGGTCGTCGCTGCGGCGGCGTATTCGCGACTGGATACCCACCGGGTGCCGCGCGAACTCGAGTGGCAAGAAGTAAGACACGCTTTCTGACCGTTTGTATGAAGATCGAATACTTTATAGATAATATTACCGTGGCATAGCAAAGATTGGAACACTTTCACTTGAAATTCTACAAAAAAAATCATTTGTGCAGTAGTGATATTTTACTAGGTACTATTTAAGTTGATAAAATGAAACATTCTAACTTAAGAAAATAAACGTGTTGAAAACTTAGCCCTTTTCGTAGCATATGCGAACCCGCGACTCACTTGTTTTTTTTAAATGCCATTGTAGAACATTTTTTTTTTCTGAAGATTAATGATTTGCCTTCAAAGAATAATGAAGAGATATCGTGTTCACTATTTTGTTTATAAATTTATTTATATTTTATTATAAATGCAAGAGGGCCTTTCATTGTGGGAGGGGAAACATTAGTATAAATTCCCCTAGGTAGTTATATAATTTATTGTTTTTTGCGTTATATTATTATAACATTTCAGTCTTATTTTAATTCGATGTATGTTAATAATTCCTTAGATAATTAGGTAACTAGTTAGTACGTGCGTGACGACTAGGATTGACGTAATTCTTAACAAAAATGTCATTGCTTTCATAGCTAAAATTCATAAGTAACAAATGTAAATTCAGAGCATTACATATAGTGATATTCAACATGATATATGCAGTTTGGCAATGAACCCGTTAAGTTATGTGACATTGTGACTTGTTAAGCAACTTTACCAAAATCTGGTCATCGGATGGGTCCAAGATGGATCATTAAGTTTTTTGTGTGCAGCTTGTACGTGCTTCGAAAGCTACATCGAGTAAGTACTTAAGTCGAAAACTAGCTGGCATGAGCAATTTACAAAAATGCAATAAGTATGGATATTATACCTAATCTATAGAATAGCTGGCTAAATTTCTTAATTACGTTATAATTTTGAGCCTCTAGGATCATTCCAAGTAGATCCATATCAGGGTCTTTAAAATATTCTGGTCTCATACAAATCTCACAAATTAAGTAGATGATTCAGAAATATTATATTTCTTCATTCTATGCTCGAAAAAAAGGAAACGTTTTATAAAAATTAATGAAATATGCAATCTCGCCATTTAGATCCCCACTCGAAGCACAAAATGTATAGTAGTAGGTACTATATTTTTCCTGCTTATAAATAACGCCAATGATACAGTTCACATAATAAGTAATAAGTTGACGTGTAGAATGCCTTTCAACAGGGGCGTGAATTAAATTAACTAGCGTAACTTGGCTTGGTCTAACGAATTTTTTTTGTAGTTTCGTCCAGAAAAGTCCAGAATTAAAAAAAGCAGCACCTACTTAAATGCCGATTGCTAGATCGATTTAAAACCAATTCGCTGACTAGATTATTGCCTACTATATAATGATATGTAGGTAACCAATTTCTTAAATATCTAATACCCACTTGGTGGATTTAATGACAAGAATGTTATGTGTAAATGGCTTACTCGGTCCTCTTGGGACAACTATGGCAGTGTGGTCAACACTTCTTCCTGCTTTTAATGAGTTTCCCTTCGCGTAATATACGGCACATAATTGATTTTGTCACTGTTTAGACTTATTAAAAGCAGATTTTACGCTTTAGGACTTTTTGTCCATGGGCTCTAACGGGAGCATTGTTTCAGGAACATCCGTGGTACTCCCACTCATTCTCCGACCTGTGCAGTTAGTGAAACACGTGTCACCAAGGCCAAATTTTTCACCATCCTCAATAGACTGTGGCAATACACGGCCTATTGTTTCAGGTAAGAAGAAAGTAGACATCCCTGAGAGGAGAGCCAAGAAGCCAAAAATAATAGTAGGTATTTTAGGATTGAGTGTATCTAGTAAGCTTACTAAAGGTGTCAGGGCGCCTGAAACACTCGCACACATGCTTCCTAGACCTACTCCGGAGCTACGTATAACAGTGGGGAACAATTCTGCCGAATATTTGTAGATAATAGAATATGAACCGGATATAAAAAGCTTGCCAACCATGACCACACCGGTCGTTGAAGACGACCCATGTGGTAAAGCGACTACAATTAAACAAGCCACACCGCCTAATAGCATCATTGTACTAATTAATGCTCTATGACCCACTCGGTCTAGGAAGTACATAATTATGACATAACTAGGTAGTTCGACAATGCCCATTAAAAATATGATAAAGTATGGATTTCCGTTGAGCTTGCCTGTGTTAAGTGACAACCCATAATAAACAACGGAGTTAGCAAACCAACAACCGCATATAATCAACGTTTTCTTTAGCATGTTCGGAGTTTTAAAAAGATCCGATGCTGCTGCGGAATGTTCATCAGTGTACTTCGCACAAGTGGCTTTGCAGTGAGATACTAATAAAGGCGCGTCTACGGTCTCATTCGATTTGTTCATCTTCAACGCTTTCTCTACAATTGCAACAGATTCCCGTGCACGCCCTTGTGACCACAACCACCTTGGGGATTCGTCCATCAAGAACCAGTGCGGAAGCAAAATAGCTGCGTGAAGAGCATAAAGTATTTGTAAGTAGAATCTATTGTCTAGTAGGTATCCCCAGGCGGCCAACAGCATTATACCTACTGCGAACATTATTTGAAAAACAACACCGCATACTGTTCGTTTGTTAGGTCCAACGAGTTCCATTGTAAGTACAAAACCCGCTATATATGCGCCTGATCCAAATATGCCATATAAAAACCGGATTGCTACGAATGTATAGTAATCAGTAGCGAAAGCCACTGAAGCACCAAATATTAATTGAAGTACTCCAGACCAAACAAACGCCGTCTTCCTTCCGAATTTGTCAGAAAGTCTGCCGAGTGCAAGCGATCCTATTATGACACCAAACATATAGGAAGTTTGGGCGAACGCTCCCATCCATCGCCTGTTGCACACGAAGTCCCACTCGATCCCACGAGATGAAGTATAGTATTGAGTATCGTATATCCAGGATTGACATTCCTCTAATGTTTTATTTGGTCCGTACATCTTGCAGGCATCAAGTTTCCCGTGTTCATTTAAAGGAATAGATTTCAAAACAATTGTAGAATTCCATGGCTCGGAGTGATTCAAACTCTCTGTTGGCAATGCACATCTGAAAACGAAAATAGAAAAAAACAATTATTATTTACAAAATTGATGATTTTTTTACAGTCAATTGTGCAATAATGAAATGAAAGTGCAAATAATAAATTTAGTAAAATATTATTTCTAAGCATTTTAAAATGAGTTAATCGAATTTTAATATGGGTATTCTCTTATTCCATGTTATTAGTTAGCATTATTGTACCTTGGCCAAACCAAAAAGGCATGCACCAAAATCACAAAGTATAGAGGAAACTTATTATTATTCGCCACAAACAGTGGTAAATAAAATTACATTTAAAACCAACCACGAGAAAAGTTCTAACCGACCACAACCAATTTAAAAATGTATTTGAGTGTTAGTATTTATTTACATTGGCTAAATACAAGCACAGTGAAACTATTTTACAAAAACGTACTTACACTTTGGTAACCCAAATAATATTCCATGTACAAATCACTGTTTAACAGTAAATTGACCAAAGCCGTTTCCGCATTATAATATTGTAAACATCAGAATACCCGTACAAGCAAACCTTTTTACTCGGAAGAACCTTGTAAGCGTGTAAGTTAAAGCCACCAACCACTTCGCACCACTATATCGTTTCAGAAAATATTATTATTATTACATAAAATATTTGAAAAATCATTGCTTATTTTATAGATTTATCTCTTTGAACGAAAACTGTAGATCTTATAAACATAATATATATTTAATTACGTGTTGTCTGACACTAAGTCAAACAAAACGTTAAATATAACTTTACACCTGAACAGCTTTATAAAATTAATGGTAATAAGGTCCACAATTTGATTTTGTTAATGAAATAGTTATTAAATGTGGAGATTTTCATTAAAAGTCCGTGTTTCTAGAATAAAATGACGTAAGCATAGCACTGTATAGTATTAAAAAAAAACAATAAATTCATCCCCAATCCCTTTCTGTAAAAATTCATGCCCATGCATAGATGTTTTTACCAACCAATAGAGCCACAGGTTTTTATGTGGAATGAGAGTTATACTTAGTACCTAAGTAAGACTACCTTGTTTTAATCTAAGGACTTTAAAATGTTACAAAAGTTATTGTTTTTTGTATAAAGTAAAATTCAAAACACCGAGCTTTACATTTCATTTTAACAAATGAAAATGTTTTCGTACAACAAAATTGTTGTTATGTAGTGTATATAAATATATAATATAGTGTTGTTTTCTACAAAAACTCTAAGGTTAGATTCCAAATACAACATTTTAGAAAACCCAGCGTGCTCGTTCTATTTCTAACTATAATTCTATTAGTTTATTATATATAAATAAATGTATAAAATATTTAAAGAAATATAAGTACTTTACTTAAAAATCGCTCTTTAGTATTTTTTCACTCGGCATGTATTGTGCAACCATGCCCAGCCAATCATACTCAGAATGTGTGTAGAAGACGTATATTGCTATATTTTTTTTACTTAAAATATACAGTTTTATATAAATTACCATATCAAACCCATATTGTAAGCAAAGCACCATTGTAAATTGATAATTACCTGTGGTCAGGCACCGCGGCTACCGTCACTAAGGAGAGCATGTGCATTCCTGCTGTCATAGCTGCCAATATGTGAAGGATGAACTGGAAACATTGATACCGCCCGAAGTCTCCTGGAAAAGATATAGAAAAATACATTAAATTTTATTTGAAATTTTTCATTTTTGAACAAACTCACTTTTCACCACGGCATTTGCCGGTGTGAATTGAATATACATGTTCAATTTTAAATAACACCACGGATTCCGAATAAGGGCTTTGTAGTAGTAATTTTCGTCGTTCGTTTCACCGTATTTGACAATATTGTTAGTAGAGGGAATAATGGATTTAAAGGAACGAGAACTCAAAAATATAGGAAGCTTTTATGCAATTTGCCTTCGCTACATTTTACCTTAAATTTAAGTCATTTATCTGACTGTATCTTATATAATAGTCATCCTACAAAACAAACAAAGAAGACTATATGTAAAAAAAAACTTTTCTAAGATTATTCAATTTATTAGCAGTGAATTATCTTGGTGTCCGCCTTTAAAAAAACGAAGTTAAATTTAGAGGTTGCCATTACTAAATTACTAGTTGCCGCATGCAACTTTCAATGTAGTAGTTAGTAGGTATCTACTCCACATTTTTAAAAGCCTTTTTCAACGTCTAATACTTCGTTTAAGACAAAAAATAAACAGACACAACCAAAATCTCATAAAAAAAAAGGCCTGGCCAACCTAGTTAGCAATCATCTGCGATTTTATTACAATTTCACGCTCTCTTTTCTACACTTAACTAGTTAAGCAATGATATTATTAGTTAAGTAATTCAATTTTCCAGTTCCAGGCAGACCAACATCAAGGTCGTTTGATTTTTCAATTATTATTCGAAAATCATCGTTTTTGCATAATTTTCTGTTGACATTCGATAAAAGATACCGCACTACAAATATTATAGGTCCTTACATATCAGTTTTATTTACTTGTTTGATTAATATAGGTTGGCAAAAAAGTAACCACGCTATCGGAAGATATTAAAATTATTACAAATGGCATTGTACCACAGTCATATTTGAAATTTGTGAAGTAGACAGATGCAGAATACAAACAGACAAGCAAAGGAGCACGATACTTTGCAAGAGTGTGAACATGTGTGGTTTCAACAAGACATTGCAACCACACACAGCACGATTTCATTTTGGCGATTTGACATGGCAAGCAAGATCGCCCGATTTAACCGCGCTCCAGACTTCTTTCTTTGGGGGCAGCAGTTACTTGCAGTCTCTGGTTTGTGCCCACAATCCAGAATTTGGTGGAGAATAAACGATACTGGTTCACATTGTTATTATGTAGGTATAAGCAGAAGTTCATTATTATAATAAATTAAGAGCTTTCAATTGATATTTCTTGGAACGAATACGCCCAGTTAGATAACCTTTACTTTTTCTAAGTCGCTGGACTACTTTCTATGCAAATAAAGTAGGTACTCTTATATTTCAATGACATAGTTTTAAAAAGTATTAGATGAATCCACTATATTAAAAGTTTATTTTTGGACCAAAGACTACTACGACTGCAGTGCCTTAATTAAGGCTAGAAAATTTACCTCTTATTTTTGATTTATTTGAGGCCTCTTTTGGGCAACAACTATAATAATATAAGACTTGTATTTCACACACACACACACACACACATATATATATATTTCATTTGTAGAAAGAAATATTTAAATAGGTCCGTTAACAGCGCAGTATTTTACATACGAATTTACATAGCGACGTAATGCTTTGTCAAATGAATACAAAATGACAAGTTATTTTACACACAAAAAGTAATAGTACCGACACTCTATCTGATAAAAAATAATGAATTGCTCAACTGATTTGTACCTGGAAATATGCATATTCAATACAGCATTACGATTTTAAAACCATCTCTACAAATAAAATGGAATATTTTAAACAATGTGGCGTGCGAAAACAAAATAATCTTTTCTTCTGGCTTGCACGGTGTATTGTCACACTGTTCAACGTAAACATTATAAATATTTTATAAAGTGTTATAAAGGCTACGATCTATTATAATGTCAACACAGATGTGTGTGTATGTGGTGTGTGTAACCCCGATCGAGGTGACCGATAAACCTTATCGGCAATGATGTATCGATGCGTCGACCGACCCGTTACATTAACATCGTATTGTAGTAATTTTGATTAAATTGAAGTAGCTACTATGTTTGTTTCTTAGGTTTTCACGCACATCACTCATTAAATAAAACTAGTTTTTACGGGTTACTGCACGAAACTTTATTTATTTATTGACGTTTCGTAGCCTTTACAGGCTACGTCGTCAGAATCAAACTTTTATTTTAAATAAAAGTTTGATTCTGACGTTAAAAGTTTGAGCCGTCTTATATCTTTTATATAAAAAGCATTGCCACACATACAACAGACCATCACTTAGGGACGGCAATTTGGCTGAGACTGGTGATTTTTACTTAATAATTACGAAAACATATGAAGCTGGATGGTAGTCTGCAATCGTGGAAGTTAAGCAACTTTCTTCTATGGTCAAGCTCATAGCCGTAGGATAACCAAAAAAAAATATCTCGATCACCTGCGTGCATGGTCGGAAGGAATGTTAAGCTGTTGTTTCCTGCTGCATCTGAGACGTTAGCATTTAACAATCCGCAATAGGCCAACGTAATGGATTATCATGTTATGGATTGTTCTCCCGATTTTATCTTTAGAGAAGACCTGTGGCCCAGCAGTTTGGAGATTGAAAGTACTGAACCATACTTTACTACTTAATTATTGCAAATCAAATAAAGCACAAGATGTCGATAGGATAATTTCTCCTTTGGGGAAAATCCTACAATGTCTGTTTTGGTTTCCTAAAATGTGATAGGTATTCACAAAATGTGTGCTCTCCCACAACATGAGTTTACGTTTCCTACGATGTTTTTGTACTAGAATGTCTAGTTCCTAAATTGTTTGCTTTCTAAAATGGTTATGTTAAATGTTTGCAAATTAGATTCACTCATTAAGTTAATCACAGATATTTTTAGGCTGTAAATAATGCCAAGTATATATACAAGAAAGATACGTTTTATACTTATGCTAATTCACTTATCTTATAACTTGATCCTCTGATGATAACCTATAACTTGTTTCTTATGGTGTAACTAAATAGACTTGTTTCTACAATTTACAACTGCTCAGAAAACACATTGGTACTTGGTTAATAGGTTGATGTTATTTTTGTCTTTGTAGATGAGTATATTATTCGTAATTTTGAGTTAACACAAAGAGATTAATACTTATATTAATGGCTTTGACTAAACATCAATGTAACTAGTTAATTATAAATTTCTTTTATTATTTAAGGTAGCAAATAACTAGGTAATTGAATTTAAATAATTTAAACATTATTTTCGATTAAGCGACCAACGATAGGTTTTTATTTATGCGTAGATTTTTACAGTAAAAGTTTCCTTATTGGTACATACGATATTACCCATATTCGTTATTGCTATTTGAACATTTCCTTAAAATCGACAATTACTAATGATTGCAGAAGATTAACTTGAAGGCCACCGGCAGACTATCATTTACATCAATCAACTACTTTAAGCAAACTGTTAGTACATTTTACCGACTCTTGTTTTGTAGCTCTTACAAGTTCACTTACCTAATATATACTTTCTTTAGCCCCAAAAGTTTTTATGGTCTTCACTCAAAAAAGATAAAAAATCTCTTCAGACTTCTAGGGCGTTTACTTGAGGAATGAGAAGTATTGTTTCAAATAACATTTTGCTTATACTTTCTTTAGCCCCAAAAGTTTTTATGGTCTTCACTCAAAAAAGATAAAAAATCTCTTCAGACTTCTAGGGCGTTTACTTGAGGAATGAGAAGTATTGTTTCAAATAACATTTTGCTAGATTTAACTCATCGAAATTTTTTATAGATTTAAATTTTATATTCTTGTAGGGTCCAAATCTGGTCTGAATTAAATCGAGATTTAGTAAATTTGCTGTAAGTGGACCTAAGAGTTTTTTATGTTAATTAGTTAAAGAAATTGTTATTGACTTATGTTAAATATTATTCTAAGAGAATAATCACAAACGCAAATAATTTTAATACAGGTAGCGTAAGAAGCAAGTCTGCGTGTAGTCGCAAGAGTATAACGGATTTTTAAAGTCGATGCTTTAAAAATCCGTTCGATCCGAGAGTTCCTTGAACTCCGAGATTGTATTTTTGGAACAATGCAATGATCCTGATCTCTTTATAAGTACATACTTAGAAAAAAACAAAATAATATTGAAAATTTTGTTTTATATCAAATTGTAAGTTGAGGTTTGCCAATGAAGTTTCCTTGATATGGTGTTAATGACGAAATATCTACACTGCAAGAAATCTGAAATGTGATAACATAGTAATAACAAGAAATATTTCATTAATAGCCATAAAAAGGAAAGAAACAAAATTACCAAAAGGAAAAGGTTTGTTTTTTCCCCTTCCTTTTTTTTGTCAATGAATAAAGATGATTTAAAAGGGGAAAAACTAACGTGAAGAATCTTCGGTCATTTTTTGTGATTATTTTGAAGTTGTGTTTTAAATGACATGAGATATATTACCTTTATGTTACTTCATCGGTTAGTTTGTCTAAGCTGTCTAAAGTATAGTGAGTTTTACTGCAGAAACGATGATGATGTCATTTTCTTTGATTTTTTCTAGTATTTATAATACCTACCTATTTTTCTAGTATTATGTACCGACTGCTGAAAATATTTTTCAGTTTCTTAACAACTTCTATTACATTCATATTTTTATTATATATTTTTACATTGTACAACCTAAGGAATTTAACTATTTTGCAAAACACGAGAACCTTGGCTATCCGCCAAGTGACTTCATTGACTGTTCGTTAATAGTTAACCTAAATACTAAAATAATAACATAAGCACTACAACTACTACTACTTCAAACCATATCACATGATAGCTGCGAATTACGATACCTTCATAAAATGAAGTAAATAATGGCATTATCAAGGTAACCTACACTGGCGTCTAATTCACAAGTCGCAATGTAAATAAATTATTGACTTCAGTGCTAAGTATTATTTTGCGC